CGTCGTCCTTGTCCCCATCCTGGATGTCGATACATGTGTCCGCGTCCTGGCTGCTCCAGTCCTCGTTGTACTTCTCTGCCTGGTCCTTGTGGTGCGTCTCCACGTCCTCGTCCAGTTGCACTTCGACCATGCAGTCGATATCCATATCCATCGTGTGAACGATTTCCATACTGGTGACGGTCCGCTTCACGATGTCTGTTCTTCTGCTGATGTACCTGCGTGAGCGGCTCTAGGGGCATGTCCCCTTTGACGTAATCAACCAGCGTGCTCAGAAAATCCCAGATCACCGTACATGGATATCCTGTCCACTCGTTTTTCCTCGACCGTATTCCTACCGCAAGTGCTGGCTCGGTCACAGAGGGGGCTTGCGGTATCTTCGTTACAACGTTCGCTCTAGTGGCGTACGCAGCTTCTCTCACTGTGTTCATCAGTCAATCACTTTTAATCGCATCACTTCCCAGTCAGCTTCACCTCGTGGTGGTGCAACCGCGACAATCTTTGAGCCTCCTCGTGCTGCGTTGGTGAAGGCCATGCTGAGCTTCATCCACTCTCCTTCAGGTGGCACTTCATTGCACGTAGGTCCGACAAAAATTATGTTGTGGGGCTCTTGGACTTCCCTCAGCTTCTTGCAGATATCCGCTAGACTCTTATAGATGAATGGCGTAGTGTTCTCCCCAAACTGCACTGCGTGCTTGAACCATGTGAATCCTTGGGGTAATAAGAATATAGCCTTTTCCTTCTTCTTTTCGACTCTGACATCTGTCCACGAATTCGACATCGCAAATCGAACACCTTCGTTCATCAAAGAGTTTACTTGGTCGATTGTTAATCCCGAGTTGCCATCGTGTCGCATTAATAAACTGCTGCCATCGTGGTGCATCAGATCCCGCATAGTATGTAGACAGTGGCGTTTAAAGTACACGTAGGCCTTCTGGGATCCTGAAGTTGTCACGAAAACGTGGTTCTTGTCCCTCATCAAAAAATTCCTCTTGTCGGCATCACGTTCCTGTTCGAAGATTGATATATAGCGGGCCAACGAAAAGATGCTTGTGACTGGCAGTGTCGAAATCACTGGATCTACACCAGGAACCACGTCGCCAAAGGTCTTCCCTCTGATGTCACAGTCGAATTCATCCTCGCCGGGTTTTCTTCCTGGGCATGTGTGGAAAAGACTCAATGCGGAATTATCCGAGAAGTCTGACGATGTTGCCCTGCAAAAAATAGCATTACTCTTATTGTTTGTAGGCGCTAACTTTTTCCTACTCCATCTTTTTGTTTTTGTTTGGATTTGTTTATCGCCTATTTCTCTCGGTACCTTTATCAGCATGTCATATTGTACTCTGATAGGCTCATCGTTACTGTTTAACCGCGACAAAAGTGCTGAGTTTTTACTAACTTCTAACACTCTAAAGGGACCATTCCATTCATTACAGAATTTAGGGTACTTCCCCACGCTTTTTTCACGCGGCAGCTTCACAAACACTCTGTCACCTACCCCTGGGTGCTCTTTTCGCCCAACGTTGAATCTTTTATCGTAACTTTCCTTCATTTTAACTCTCATTTCTGAGTTACGCTCCTGCACCGACCTCTGAATCATCTCTATGCTAGCTAGGAGCTCATGTTTATAATCTTCGAGATCTACATGGTTAAATGAGAGTTTTTCTTGGGGAATTACTTTAGACGGGAATCTAGGATCGAATGCGTGCAGTATATAAAAGGGACTTTCACCTGTAGCTTCATGCGGAGATGAGTTATATGCAAAAACCACCATTGGTAGCAATCTATCCCATTCCGCGGGTACAACTGTCTTTTTCTTTAGCATCCTAGTCAGTGTTCCGATGACTCTTTCTGTGATACCATTCTCCCGTGGGTTATAACCCTTGGTCACGGACTGGTCTATACCCACAATATCACAGATTTCCGACAAGACGTTATTTACAAACTCCGGTCCTTGATCGGAGTGTATTGCTTTGGGCCAGCGGCAACCTCCGCATACCCATCTTTCAAAGAACGTTCTCGCTACTGTTTCAGCTTTCTTGTCTACAATGGGGTACGCTCCCACAAATTTGGAGAAATGATCAATCACTACTAATGCGTACTTATTTCCCCTTTCTGTACATCCTAACTCCACCAAATCCATGCCTACCAACTCAAATGGCGCGTTGGTTACGATTGGCTTAAGTGGAGGAGTATTCTTTTCGTGGACTCTTGTCAAAAAACACTTTGTACAAGCTTTTGTCCACTTTCCCAGATCTTCTCGCATTCCATTCCAGAAAAGCTCTTTTCTCAGCTTTCTGTACAACTTCTTTGCATTCAGGTGTCCTGCTAATGCACCTGAATGTGCTTCGTCGAACAACTCTTTTCTCTTGGACTTTGGGACGACTTTGAGCGCCTTGTCCCCGTCCATCACCATGAGCAGTCCTTCGCTTATGAAGAAATCTGCTACATAGAGCTTCCTTCCGCATCTTGGTAGTTGGATTTCTTCCTCCATGCTATCTTGTTCCAGTCCTTCAAAGACCTTTGCATAGTCTTTGTCTTTTTTCAACTCTTCAAGCCATTCTGTGTCGGCTTGTACAGTGCACACGACTGTGGCATTCTCTTCGCAACATGCTATATCTACCGGAACAGCTGTGCGCGATAATGCGTCTGCCACCGCGTTTGTGCTTCCCTTGACATATACTGTATCTCTAGATTGTACTTCTGTACTTCTAGTGCCCATCTTAGCACTCTTGCAGAAATTGATGTCCTTTTGAACAGATAAGAGGCAAATGGTCTGTTCTGACTATAGTCTTCATTCCATAGACAAAGAAATGAAACTTCTTTAAAGCAAAAACTAGGGCTAGAGCTTCCAGATCTGTTATGTGATACCTGCTTTCGGCCTTAGTCAACCCTCTTGAAGCAAAGTATACGGGATGCAACATCTTATCTGTGCTCTCCTGACATAAAACTGCACCCAAACCTTCCACGCAGGCATCAGTATAGATTATAAACGGACGAGTTCCTTCTTTTGCTGCATTCACATCTGGCTGGGCTAACACTGGTGCTGTACTCAGCTTTTGCTTCAAGATGTCGAATGCTTCTTCTTCTTCCTGCGACCATTTCCAAGGATTCTTGGGACTTGTGAGTGTGTACAACGGCTTAGCTATCTTCGAAAAACTCAATATGAATTTCCGATAGTATGCAGCCATACCAAGAAAAGTACGGCATCCCGGTTCGGCCCCCAAGTAATGGGCGGACAGATCCGCAGGTTCCACTGACCCAGCACAACCGTTTGGAACAAAAATGGTTTATCAAAATTGACAAACCGGAGAAACTGAATATAACAAAAATATATGAGAACAATAACAAGAGAATTGAAAGGCTGCAAAGAATGAGCAAATAAAAAAAAACAAAGATCAGATCACAATCGAACGAATCAACAACCTAAGGCCGGCAACCTGAGATATGGTGCGGCGTATGCCTCACAACTACGCTCTATGGTCTTACACACTCAAAAAAAACTAGACTGCTAGAAAAACCTAAAATGTAACTAATTCAACCTAACCTAAACCTAACCTAAGTAAACAAGGCCTAGACTTAGCTACATATTTCTTGATTCTGTGTTATTAGTATCGGTATAGTATATTTTATTGGAACCATTATATGGAATTTTTTTGCATTCTTGAGGCATAATAATGAGAGTTCTTTGTTTGTTTTTATTATATTACGTGGTAAGCTTGTAAGCAGATTTGTAAAATTAGTTGTATATATTTGTATGTTGTCTATGTTGATATTAGATAGTTTATCACTAATATCGATATAAGTTACCAATGCGTCACCTCTGCTTCGCAGAGGATCGCACTGGCTATACTATCTATGTGCTTTACTCATGCTCGTAGAATTTTCTCGCTCACGCGCTATGCCGACTACCACGAATAAGATGTAAACAACTACTCATTTAGAATGTTTTTTCATGTGAGATCGGTGATTTCGCGTGGATGAAACTTTTCGCAGGAAGACAAACGCAAATTTGGATAGTTTTTTGAATTTGGCTTGGTAGTCATCATAAAGGCAATAGTAATCATGAGCTACATTTCTGTGCGAAAATCTTCTCAAATGCTTAGCTAGAACCTTGGCAAATTGACCATTTACGCAACCAATTCTTTTTGACGTCATTTTCGTTATATAGTAAACTTTTGATCATTTTTCGGGCTAAAGTCCATCGCTTGCACATTTGCTTACCAAACACATCCACGACTTTGCAAAAAGTGGTGATACGGACCCAATTTTGCGGGACAGAAGTCAGGTGAACCCGTTTGGCGCGCAATTTCTGAGGGATCCACTCAACGGATCTACTCGTGCTTTTGCTTGTTGGACTTTCATGAAAGCAGCATGCGCTATGCGAAATTTGGGCTTAGAACGCTAGCTGGAACACGCTCCACGAATTTCGTAACAGACGGACACACAGACGCACAAAAACACGTAAACAGCCCTTAGCCTGTTATTATGGGGTCTTGATAGACCAATAATTATAAAAATGCTGTTTTTTATTTTCAGTAGCTTGTATATAGTTTTTGAAATGTACTTTGAGGTACTGGAATAGCTGTCTCACTTCCAGAGCCAGTGGTTTTGATATTAGGTTGTCCCGAATGTTGGTTTTTTCAAACTGCTATAAAACCATGCATAATAAAGACCTGGAAAAGCTTAAACATGGATTCTATGCAGCTTTTCATTCTCTTTCTTATGGATATATTCCCAAACCATAATCTTGCATGCTTTTTTGCTAATTGCCAAGATTCTTCACCCCCCGTCAATTTTATATGCTTAATGTTAGGCTGATTTTTAGCAATTTCTTTCCGATGTTTCGGGAAAGGCTAAGTATGGATTAGGTAGAGCAATTCTCGGACTACAAGCCTAAACCATAATCTTGCATGCTTTTTTTGCTAATTGCCAGGATTCTTCACCCGTCAATTTTATATGCTCAATGTTAGGCACTTGGAATTAAACAAAATCATGCGCATTCAAAACAAACCCACCAAACTGATATCACCGTCGAAGAGGTTCGCCCTCGTTCTTGTAGGAAACTGCAATATATAATAATTGAAGCTGCTGCAACTAACAAAGTCTATAGCGCTACAATGCACAACTTTTCGTGTTAGGAAAAGTGCTGAGGTGAGGATCTAAGTTTGCCGCATATCCCACAGTATGAATCCTTAATCCTTGTTATGAGCATTATGTTGGAGTTACGCTATTTCCATAGCACCCCATAATTTATGTTGTGCAAACAACATTTCATTTCATTGTTAGAGTAGTGACGAAATTGATACGCGCTGAAGCAGGAAACAAGATCAAAATCGCTGTTGCAAAAGCAAAAAGAAAAGACGCTATCAAGCAAGGGCCTAATGAGGGTAAAAATGTTTATCTGTCGAACGAATTCTGCTTTGCCACTTTCAAATTTTAACACTTCTAATTTGATCGCGCCTACTGTGCAGGTTATTCAGATGAGAAGCGTCTATCTCCTAGAGAGCCCCGATTCGTTGCAGTTGTTGCTACTTCACTACCAAAAACAAAGGAGTTTCGATGCCGAAATCTTGATTTAACATGAACATGTGGAGGGTTTATGTAAAGAATATGAATTATATGAATTAATAGTCCATGACAACCCTAACTAAAAAAGTTGAACACGCTTTAGATAAAGTTGTCTTATAACTTCAATTCATTCCTACTCTCCATTGCATTTATAGCACCATTTGTAGCCATAATATCTAAGTGAGATGCAAGTAAGTTTTTTCCCATCTTGTACGGCCTTTTTTTAGAAAAAATTCTAAAACTCTTCAAGTGCAAAATTTTTCATTTTTCATAGTTTGCTTCTCCCAGCATTTGTTCGTTTGTATAGATCCTAGTTTGGTTTTGGAGAATGTCCCAAAAGTTTGCATACACTGTTTGATCGTTAATATCTCTATTCTCCCAAGAAGTCTTTTGCCAACCTTCAAGTACATTTTGTAGAGCTGGCTTCAGCTCAGATTTACAGTATAAAGAAAACCACCGATCACTCTTTATTATTGTAGGATTACGGTGGAACTTCCAGCCTATGGCTCATTTTGGATCAATCATTTCTTGAAAGAATCTTCCAAAAAATCTAAAAAGTGGTGTACCAGGGTTTTTACGCGCGCTGGTTTCATCATTCAACCTTTCAAAAGGTGGAATCAGATTTTAGGGAGCACTAAGAAATAGCTGTTGCGATTTATCTAGCATAACTTAATGAATAAGCTCTTGGATAAAGTGCAAACTCCGTAGTTGGTTTTAGAGTCATAAATTGGCCTAGTATGAAAGGTTTTCAGGATTTTGGTTTGCTTTCTGAAGCGAGATGGGGCCATTAATCGTTCAAAACCCTTCTCAAAGTTCCATCATAATCCTACGGTAATGAAGAGCGATCAGTGATCGCTCCATAAGGCCCGGGCAGACTTCACGCGATTTGATCGTGGCGACTGAATCGCGACGAGACAACTGCTACAACATCATTCCATGCCAATCAACTTGCATTCGGTCGTGATACTTTTCCAGCCCGAAATTTTTGAATGTGAAATGAAAATGAATGGAAATCTTGGCGATTAGATCGCGATAATTGAGTCGCGTGAAGTCTGTCCGGGGCCTCATGCAAATCTAAGTTGAAGCCAGCTCTACAAAATGATGCCTAGAATTAAGCAAAAGAGTTCTTGGGAAAAGAAATGTTAGCGTTTAAACAGTTATACATATTTTTGGGAAACCCTCTATATTGAAATTTATGTTTGAGGTCGTTTCTGCGCTATGAACGTCAGCTGTTTTATTGCAAAAATATAGTTCCTAAGAAGTGCGCCTCATGCAAAGTGTTATAGATGATTCGTGTGTTGCGTCGTTTAGGTTAGACGTGTGGTTGATAGATAAGCAGGGCAAGGATTTTGAAAAAAAATTTCTTGTTGAGATACGGAGGTATTTTCAGTGCAACTCCTATTTTGGGCTTGAAAAGGGCTTATCACGGCTGACAGATGCTCAAAACGCCCCAAGAACGTAGCGGGATAGCATTTCTAGAAGGTATCGATGTGGTACCTTTTCCATGCTATTTGAGAGTATTTGATCCCGAGACTACCTCCATGGATGATAAAGCTTCAAAATTTCAACTTGAAAATTCGTCAAAGCAGGTCTAAACTGCATTTGAGGAGCCACAAAAATTTTAGTGTGTATATATGTAAGAGTTGCGTCCAACGTGATTTTTGGAGGATTTACGGGGCAACTTTGAAGAAGCCGATTTTACAACCTGAGCATGCATGATGGGGGGTTAATAACTCTGCGAATATTACAGATATGGAGCTGGAGTTTGCTTTGTTGGACAGATCTCTGGGTATAGGAATTTTAGAGAGAAAGTCGTAGAAGAACAAATCTATATATATATAAAATGTCTGTGAGGATGTTCGTTTAATTGTTCGTTCGTTATAGAAACGCCAGCCATTGAACCGATTGAGCTGAAACTTCGCACACATATGTTTTCGGCCCCGGCGGTGGTTTTCGGCTACCTTTTGAGACGATTCGCAGGGTCCTTCTATTGATTTATTGATTTGTTTACTTAAATCTGGGAAAATGAAAATTAGACCTGCTTAAAGCAATCATTTTCCAATAAACATGTAAGTCGGGGTAGTAAAGTTCAATCTGATCTCAAGGTCGACAGGATGCAGCGAGTCCGCCTCAGAGCGCTTTTTGCGCATTGTAGAAGTTAGAAAGTGTAAGTATGATCAGCTTCCAGATTCGTGTGGGGGGGGGGGGGGCGGACTTTACTGGTTTTAAGGAAAGCTTAAGAGAAAGTACGAAATACAGTGCTAAAACGTGGAAGTTCAACAAGTTTGTCCTGAAAATCAAGGAAGTGCGCAACCCTCCTCTACACGAATCTGGGAGCCGATGTTTTTTTGGTGGGTAGGAGAACGAACTCCGCCACTTTGAGCCCGCCTTTGCTGGCAACTGGTCCTTCTGAAATATTGTTATTCGTGGCTGCAGGACCAGTAGTCCGCGGAGATGTTTCAAACTGGCGGATTTCGTTCCCCTACCCCATCTCTTAAACTAAAAGTCTCGGGCGAGACCGGGTCATCAGCTAGTTTCCAATAAAAGTGCGCAATTGGCAGCCGAATTTGGGAAATCTGTCAGTGAGGGCAAGTTTGCGCCCTTATATTTCTACAAGTTGCAGGGCTGGGGTAATGTCATGTGGTCACTGACACATACTTTTGGTAGCTCTATTTTTCTAGGGGTAGCTTGTGCCTAGAGGTTCCCTGTAGGAGGCGCTATATAATGGCGATGAACGGCATATTTTGAATTTTATCTGCGTGGAGAGTAGGGATGACGTCCTGGTATAGCCATTTTTCTATTTGTATTCGAGGGGGACACCACATATAAATCGGAGAAAATGTAGGGGCTCCGTCTGTGGGAGCCCATCTATAAAACTTCCCGGACGTTTCTTTTTAGTTCAGGTCTCGCAATTTCTCCTCTTTTTCCCCCCTCATTTTTTCCCTCTCTTTATTACTGCAGCGCGTGTGATAGTTACCCAGCTGCCATCTGGACCGGGTGAGGGGCTAGAAACGGCTAGAAAGGGGGTAAATAGGGTTAGAAAAACGCGATTTTCGCTTATTTTTCCTTATGTTTCCCTATTTCCTTTAATTTTGATCGTGTTGTGGGGAATAAAGTGGGCGGAGCTTGTTTGGACGAGTTTTAGCTGTATAATAGCACTGGAAGTGAGGTTCTTCCGCACTTTTTAAAATTTTTCGCTTAGTTTTTCGCTCATTTTGTAGAGTTGGGAGGAAAAGGTGGGCTTGCGGTTCAGAGGGCGAAGTCTAGTGAAGTGATTGGAGCCTTGGGGTTTAAAGGTGGGTGTGTGAATCTTCAAAATTGGCAAAATCGAAATTTTTGAGGTTGCGAAATCTCCAAATTCTCCAGATCTCCGATTTTATCGATTTTCGGGATTTCGCAACCTCCAGAATATCGATTCTGACGATTTTTGAGGTTTTGGAGTTTGCGAAATATCGGATTTATCGATTTTTGCCAATTTCGGGATTTCGCGCCCTCCAGAATATCGATTTTAGCGATTTTTGAGGTTTTGTCGATTTTATCGCTTTTAAGCTGTAAACTATAAGCCCCGCCCACTTTTGATGCTGCTGTACACCCAATATATGCATATTTCCTTCCACTGACTCCATTTAGGCTTTTTTGGGCTTTCCTGCATGTAAATTGGCAGAATTGGAGAATTTCCGAAATTAGACGCTTTACAGGTGTAAACTGTAAGCCCCGCCCACTTTTGATGCTGCTATACACCCAATATATGAACATTTCCTTCCAGCGACTCCATTTAGCATCCATTTGGGCTTTCCTGCATGTAAATTGGCAGAATTGGAGAATTTCCGAAATTAGACGCTTTACAGGTGTAAACTGTAAGCCCCGCCCACTTTCGATGCTGCTATACACCCAATATATGAACATTTCCTTCCAGCGACTTCATCTAGCATTTATTTGGGCTTTTTTGCATGTAAATTGGCAGAATTGGAGAATTTCCGAAATTAGACGCTTTACAGGTGTAAACTGTAATCCCCGCCCACTTTTGATGCTCCTATATATCCGATACATGTATACTTCCTTCCACTGACTTCATATAGCTTTTATTTTGGCTTTCCAGTATGTGATTCTGCAGAATTGAAGAATTACGAAATCATATGCTGTATAGGTGTGAACTGTAAGCTCCGCCCACTTCTGATGCTCCTATATATCCGATACATGTATACTTCCTTCCACTGACTTCATATAGCTTTTATTTTGGCTTTCCAACATGTAATTCTGCAGAATTGAAGAATTACGAAATCATATGCTGTATAGGTGTGAACTGTAAGCTCCGCCCACTTCTGATGCTCCTATATATCCGATACATGTATACTTCCTTCCACTGACTTCATATAGCTTTTATTTTGGCTTTCCAGCATGTAATTCTGCAGAATTGAAGAATTGCGAAATCATATGCTGTATAGGTGTAAACTGTAAGCCCCGCCCAATTCTTATGTTACTATATACCCAATATTTGTATATTTCCTTCCGCTCACTTCATTTACACTTTGAACAAGTTACAGATTTTTGAAAATTTAACTTCAACAACGAAGAGCTGTTGTCTTGTTGGGTCATCGATCAATTACCGGAGTGAGGGGTCGGCAAAAAATTGCATCATGCATCCATTCAACCTATAACAACTCATAAATCGCTTCAAAGTGAAGATCGCGGCTAAAAAACTTGCAAGCTTCTCCTACGATGGTTTGCTTACCTTAAACCAAAAATGATCCGAATATATTATTTTATCAACGATAAGTGATAAAGTGATATTATCACTGGACAGCGGAGTTTTCACAGTTTTTTTTAAAGGAGTAAGCAAATGACGTTTCTAGAGCGTTCTGAGAACTTTCCAGGTTTTTCTAAATTGCTCATACATGCTTTTTCGGATTATGAAGATAAAATTTAATTTTTTATGAAAAATCATAACTCGCTTCAGCTTGATCTGATTTAGCTCAAATTTAGATCCCGAGTAAGGCTTTTGAACAAGCATCTATTAGCAAAATCTTAGTTGCTTAGCTACGCTTAGTCGCAAGATCCATGTTGAGCGCCATCGCCCCCCATGTGTCCCATGACCCCCAAAGGTAGCAATGGCACACAACACTTATCTACTGTACACCATGGCACCCAAGTGTGCGCGATGGCGCACATTGAGAGCGATGGCCTCCAAACACATACATTATGTAGATAAGTGCGGTGATGGACAGGAATGTTATGAGTGTACAGTGTATTTAAACGTGTATTTACGATGCCTTTCCCTTAAAGCATATGACAGTCTGACATTTGCCACCCTTGTGCAGTCCTGCATCAACGCAATTACTTGCAAAAGTACACACTCTTTTTTCTATACATGAGTTTCTGTTTCCGCAAAGGTTCACGCGTCTTGTTGAAAGAATCTTGTAAACGTTATGAATTTTGGAAAAAATTAGTCATAGATTATCATTATTTGTACACTTAAAGCTCGCATTTGTTTTTTTCAAACCAAATTGATTACATACGTTTTTTTGCCAAAGCAAATGAGCAAATGATGAAGGCAACGTTTTTGAAGTATAGGCTCATACTAGATTAGGCTACCATAGTTGGTACCGCAACTAAGCCATTGCCCAACTTTTTTCAAAGGATCAATCGAAACTCCTACAGGATAGCGTTCAACCTAAGAACGAGACAAGTTTGTGATGATTTTCGGTATCGAACTGCCGGAAACTGTACCCGTACACTAAGTCCGCATAGGAGTTCAGCTTATCAGTCGAAGAAAATATCATATTAGCAAAGAGACCAATGTGGAACAAACAAGAAGGCATTGCTATGTGTTATCATCGCAACTAATCACATGTTTCAGTGACGCAATTTTATTATGAATATGAAAACTCTACCTTCAGTCTAGTATTTACATCCGCGAAGGAAATACTCGGAACCAGATAGTCGGTCGTTGTTCTGTTCATATTATAATAGACTAACAAATCGGTCAGATCCATCGTGTAGTTAGAGTCGCCACTATCAAAGTACTTATCATCGATGAGTGGATAACGGCCAAAATCCTAAACACATTTCAGAACTTTGTGTCATAGTAAAGATCTTGTGTGTACATTTCCTGGACTGTGCATTTGATATCAAGGAATGCAAATGAAGCAGATGAAGAGTAGTATGAAACGTTGCGTGAGAACTATCCCTTGAGCACAAGCGTTATGTGTCTATAAACTTCCGACTTGAAGGAAACTCCATTTTTACTTCAATTTTCGGTGGGGTTTAGGTCAGGCGCAAGGTGATTTTGCAACTTTCGCACTGATTTTGACGCACACGATAAGAAAAGAAAGTACTCGAGCGGATGCATCAAGGTCCCTATGCCTGTACTGTACATCTCCTTCAGGGAAAGGAGGGCTAGTGGGGACTCTTTGTTTTTTGGGTATCTATATCTATATCTGGTGGTGTGAACTGAAAGTATTGGGAAGCTTGTAAGTTGACTGCACATTTCTCATGAAAGAGAACTGATTACATGTTCTCATCTAGATAAACATGCATGTTCTGGTTAGCATCTGATATAGCCCTTTACTCTCTATCCATCAGTATGCAGTTCACTTCAATTTCAGTACATCTTCGAAAAATTCAGGTGAGAAAGCCGCAGCATGTTTGATAATTCAAAAGAGTTTTGAGAATTCTCTCGAATGGTATCGGCGATATCACTTACCATCGGTCGCGGGAACCCACGAAATGAAAATTCGGGCGCGCATCGCAAGCAACGGAAAGTGCTGGAGCGCGGAAGCGGATCTATGTTTATATGTGAGATACACTAAACCTGCTTATCGAGTTCGTTTCTTGGTAAATCAATAAGAACTCGTGTTCTGCTGGACTTCAATTCCGGTTTTTGCATGCGCAAGTATTCAAAGTGTTTCTCCGAATTTATAAAATAAAATCAATCGGCCAATTCCTTTTTTTAAGTATGGCAAGAGATGCTGCACTAGCATTCGCTAGCATCGTTGCCCGCACATTTCGTTTATCGATCAATACAGATTAGAAAATAGCAGTTTTCACTGTTATCGATTCTATCAAGCTGTCTTATCACGTGGGTGGTGTGTACGTGCCTGGAATGAACTTTTGGGTGAGGCGGCACAGTAAAAAAACAGAGGCTCTATAAGACGAAAGAAGATGCGAGATAATTTTATAGATGATGTGAATCTAAAACAAGCCAGCACCCGCGCCCTGTGCCATTTCTGCCGCCCGCGGCGCAGTCGCGCTGCCTCATCTTGAGGATTTCCGTGATCGATGCTGGGTGGTACAGCCAATATATCGTTTGCATAATGAATTTAAGGTATAGCGGTGCAAGATGGGAGATGTTCAAAAAAACAATGTGGCTTTTCGAAGCGTCACGCAGAGGGTTGTGAGAAAGAAGAGTGAGCAAGTTGCCAGATTCATAGATAAAGTCGCTTATGTAAGCGATGTTTGAGTTGCAGCCTTCGTATGTTGGACGAAACAAAAAAGTTTCAAGATATAAGGTAAATGCTGTCTTATTTCTCGTTTTCAGCCAATAATTAGGTGCCTCATATGTTCTTTCAATTTTGATTTCTACCGCAGTATGTCACAAATCTCTCATTTTTTATTAGGATACAAGGTTCGTTCGTAGCGCAAAGCAAGCTCTGTAAGATGCCGTATACGTGTTTACACCAGCTTCAGCACATAAGTTAGAAGCCGAAATCTGAGACCTTTCGGATGCCCAATTGGAAATGTCTTATATTTATGTTCAAAGTAAGCTTAGCAGTCAAACGTGCCGCTATACACTCCACATAGGGCATTCTGTATACCGTTGCTGTGTTTGTTTCTATACTAGAAATTGAGAAAACTATTATTTTCAAGCTAAAATTGATTGTATACTAGAAGCTTTTAGGAATATACATCGGCGAAGTTATCCTTCCTGGAAGTGCTAGTCCTTGAGAAAATCGAATTAGCTCTTTTTGCTCGGGTATGTTATGTCAAAATCAATTTTTCTGGGAAGTAAAGCTTATAGATAACTGGAAATATATTACTGTACTTTTAAGAAATGTGATCAACATTTACCTGTTGAAGAACCGCGCAGCGTCGCTTTTTTGGAAACTTGAAACTTTTAGTTTTCTCGGTTTTTAACTCAGAAACAAATACAGCAGACACATATGATTATCTTACGTGGAGTGTACATGCTTGAGCGGTGAGTTTGAGACTTGGTAAGTTTTTATTAGGCAAAGGTACAACTAAATTTCAATTTTTCAGCATCCGAAAGTTATCAGGTTTCGGCTTCTAGCTAATGATATAGAGAACCTATAGAGCTTGCTTTGCTCCATCAAACGGTCCCCTGCAATCTGATCAGAACTGAGAAGTGTGTGACTTATTGCGGTAAAAATTCAACCTAATATATTCCTTCTTCTCTATCCCTTGTGAAGTCTCTACTAGTCTCTAATACAGGAGCATTACAATTGACATGTGTTTTCTGTTGAACCTGAGATTTCCACTATTTCGTGTGATCCACTAAGCCATTCCAAGAAGACAAACCTCTTTTTCAAATTATATATTTTACTAATAAACACTCAATTCAAACGTTATGAAGTTGTATGGAGGATGTAATATGGCACCGAATAGCAAGTTTTCGTCAGGACAAATGGAATAGCAGGTAATGAGTCTTCGATACGTTAGTTCTCGAACGTGGTTCAAAGGTTTTGATATCTGATAATTTCGTATACTTCCACTGCAAAAAGTTTAACGTGCTATAGTTAATTCCAATACAGCTTCACAACTTATATTGAGCTTGAGGGAAGAACCTTATAATACCTGGATTCTTCCAAGTGCTACGCAGAGTTCTCTGCGTCTCTCCTATCGTTAACCCCATGCATGAAGGATTGTCCAAAAGGAGGTTGCTAAAAATCCCACAAAAGGGAATGCGAAAATATTAGGTCGTTTCAAAAGTAATTTCGCTTTTTCAAACGGGCACCACATATGATGGAACAAAGGTTTCTGAGAGATCTTGGAAGCATTCGATGCAGAATTTCATTCTCTTTCTAATGGTTATGAAAGTGTTGCAAAACACTCAATGAGCTTTCAGAAAATAACCAAAGTCTGCGACCCATGTTTTTTGAGATAGTCTAATCCCACAATTTTTTAAAACTTTCACATCAAATCTCAGAAGAAGATCAGGTAACTGTTCGATAGAGCAAACCATATAGAATGCAAAACTACTTTTTTATCCTTTCCATAGCTTGTCAAACATTTTTGACAGAATTTTAACTGATGCTACCGATTTTCATACTTGAACAGCTAAATCCTCGTAGAACATAAAAGGAAGAGTAGCTCGGCCACCATTCGACGCAGCATCTTCTCCTCTTTCTAACAGGTGTTTTTTGTTTCCGATTCGTTTAGTTTCCGGAAATAATATCATCATAACTCATTTTTTTAGCGAGCCCCAGGCTGTACCTGAAAATCACGAAATTTGATATTTCGAACCCGTAAACCCTCACTTGCTTTGCAAAGTTAGTGCAAACTCATAGTACAGTCTTGGTAGTCTCAAATTCCGAAAAATTATGATGTTTGCTGCGATTGTGGCTGAGGTGGGCCTGCCAAAACCCGATGGCTCTATTAAAAAATCTTTTAAAAAATTACGGCGAGCTATGAGAAAAAGAAAAAAGTAGCACTGTATTCTATGAGGTTTACTCTATCGAATCGTTACTTGGACTTCTTCTGAGGATTGATATGAAAGTTTTAAAAAATTGTGAAACTTGACCATCTTAAAAAGCATGAGTCGCAAGTTTTGGTTATTTTCTGAAAGCTCATTGACTGTTTTGCAAAATTTTCATAACCAGTAAAAAGAGAATGAAATTCTGCATCGAACGCCCCCAAGATCTCTTAGAAACCTTTGTTCCATCAAATGTGGCGCTCGTTTGAAAAAAGCGAAATTACTTTTGAAACGACCTAATATAACAGCACTCAGTGATGACGAGAGGAAAGATGAGTAGTATATCAACTTGCTTGCACTGTGGGTCACGGGGCGGAGCGGGTATTTTTAACTTTGAGATAGGCGGCTAAAAGTTGGCACAGCGGTGTATGTGTACATGCTGCTTATAAAAACATTGATCTGAGAATTATCGGTTACCTATTGGCTACCTTTACCGAATTTGTTGCTGCACTTGCGATGTTTTGAAATAGCAACGTGCCATGGTAGCGGAAATGATTGTGTACGAAACCACTTCAGTATCGAATTATTATTCAATTGTCTCCTGGCTTGATTTTCATTTGCAAGACGAAGTTATAGCCGGCTTTGTGTCTCACTCTTCAAAGAAAAGAGCGATTGTGCTTTGATATTTTGAAACGTTCCATTACCAAAAAATCCAAAATTTGCAATAACAAAACCGAGGAGTACGATTTTTTATGAACTTTTATTAGTTGTAACATAAGTCTTGAGACACTCGGAATTTTTAGGGCGATAAATCATGCAGTTCACATTTTCAATAGGAGTCCAAGGAACCGTTCGATAGAGCAAAGCAAGACCTACAAGTTGGTCTGCAAAAGTTCGCCCCAACTTCGACACACTTTAAGTTTGCATCCAAAATGCGATTCGTACTGAAGGCCCAGAAAATCGCGAAAATTTCATATCTTCGTTTAATATATCCTACGTATAAAATATCCTAATCTCCAACTTGCTCACATAAATTGCACACTATACCAAACACTCATACATGCCGTTCCTGAATTTTTTCCTCATATATCAATCGAAAAAAAGTTTTCACAAAAACGGCTAAGCTGTTTTCACTTAGGTAGTTGTATACTATAACCTCTTAGAAATGTAACCGTAGATTTTCAGCTTTCTATAGGCCCTAGTTTTCGAGAAATTACCTAATTTAGCTTTCCCCACTCGGGTACTTTATGCTCAAATCAATAATTCTCGAAAACTAGGGCTTGTGGAAAGCTGAAAATATACATTTATACCTCTAAGTGATTAGTATACAATTACATAAGTGGAAACAGCTTAGCTTTTCGTGAAAACTTGAAAATTTTCGTTTTCTCCATTTTTATATGAGGAAGA